CTTCCAAGGAGTGGCTGGTGGGTTTGAACCGCCAGCCTTCTGGTTAGCAGTCAAATGCCTTAGGTACTATGCCACCAGAGCTCCTATATATGTGTGTGTATGTATATATATAAACCAAACCCACTGCCATTGCATTGATTCTGACTCATAGCAACCACAACCCTATGGGACAGAGTAGAACTGCCCCATAGGGTTTCCAGGGCTGTAAACCTTCACAGAAGCAGGCTGCCTCTTGTGGAGCAGCTGGTGGGTTCTAACCACTGACCTTTTGATTAGTAGTCAGATGCTATAACCACTGTGTCACCAGAGCTTGTTAGGATTTAGATATTGTTGTTGTTGTTGTTATGTGCCGTCGAGTCAGCCCCGACTCATAGCGACCTCTCCTTGGGTTTCCGAGGCAGTATCACTACGGAAGTAGGATTGCCCAACCTTCCTTCCGAGGAGGATTTAGATATAGTCCCATTTAAAACTTCAGTCATACATTCAGTATATATTAAGTATACTATTAGTAACATTACTGATCTCTCTCTTTCTCACTGCTGTTGAGTCAGATCCGACTCATAGCGACCCCTCTTTGGGTTTCCAAGGCAGTATCACTATGGAATCAGATTGCCCAACCTTCTTTCCAAGGAGTGGCTGGTGTGTTTGAACTGCCAGCCTTCTCATTTGCAGTCAGGTATCTTAGGCACTATGCCATCAGAGGTAATAGAGGTAGGTTAAATAATTTTGGAGTCCTTTTCTTTAATATAAGGCAAATATTTAGAAAGTAAACCACTGTGGAGTACATGGAGAGTGAGTGGAAAGGAAAGAAGTTGGAGAAGAGGGTGAGAGGGCATTCAGGGGACTGATACTATTCTTTCGGCACATAATGTGCTAAGAGGGGCATAGGCTTTGGAAGGAATCATTCATCCAGGACCCAATTCTAGCTTTCCATTGGCCACTGCTGTGCTAATGGCCAAGATACACCACTCTGAGCTCCAGGTTTCATATCTATAAAGTGATGAAGATGCCTCACAGGATCAATTTGAAGGTTACAAGAGCTTATAGGAAGGACTCATACAGTGTGTGACACATAATTGGGACTTGATAAATGCTGGTTTCCTTCCTACTTCCCTCTGTCCACTGGGAACAGAATGTGTAATTGAGCTGTTTTCTGTGAGTGCTGCTACCACTACTGTTGTGGAGTGCTCTTCTTTTTCTCTTCTCTTCAGCTTTTTAACCTCCTCTCTCTTTTTTTTTTTTTTTTCAGTTCATATTTCTTTTTTTCTTTTTTATTGTGATTTGGGTGAAGATTTACAGAGCAAATTCACTTGCCATACAGCAGTTCACATATACTGTGTCTCATGTCATTGACCACAGTTTACCACAATGCAACAGCTCCCCTCCCACTTCCTCCCCATAGTTACCTCTTCCCAGTGTCCATCCTCCATGCACTCTGAGCTGTCTCCCTGTGCATAAGCAGCCCTTCTTTCTCACATGATTCTTCTCTCCAAGGAGTGTATCTATCTGAGGTAAATGTTCAACTCATATGCCTGTCTTTTGTTTGGGTGGAAACTACAGGTGTGCGTTCAATTCCAGACCTGAAGGGCAGCTAGGAGCCATAGTCTCAGTGGTTCCACCAGGCTCTGTCAGACCAGCAAACCTGGTCCCCCCCCC